AGAGGTGCCATCGGAATTCAAGGCCGACGAACGAGACACGGAGAAATAAATGTATATTAGACAGTTGTGGTTTGTTTTGTTTGCCATCTGACTTCAGTAATCTGCAGTAGATTTACATACTGTTTACCAAGTCTAATTTAAATGGTGTGTTAAAAAATTAAAAGATAAATTAATCTCTCCTCTCCCCCACCCCCTTTTTCTTCCCCTTCATTCAGCTGCAAGACTTAAGATAAATGAAGAATTCAAAAACAGTAAAGATGAGACTTCTTCTGAAAGAATAGCTGAGGTACTTTCATAAGAATCTCTTCCCGCTGCTGAGGGCAGGACTGTACTGTGAGCTTAAACTTGTTTAACTTATCACACAACGTCTTTTGTCCTCTTCCCAAAGATGCTTGGGAATTGGGAGGAAGCCAGGGTTGAGTCCCTTTGTAAAACTACAGTTCCTACAGTCTCTCTACAAGGAAGAAGTGGCAGTGAACACAATTTAAACCACACTATAAATCTGCAGCATAGGTGTGTTCTGAGCTTGCATGTCAAACATCATATAATTAAAAATCAAAGCCCAGGGAAAAGGTAATTTCTCACTGGTGTAGATGTGAAAGTCTGTCCAGGTATATGCAGTTCTTAGTCCCATCTTGAATCAGTGGAACTTGCGTATGTGTTGACTTAGCATATCTGATTTATTCAGTGGGGTTGCCCTTCGAGGAACAAAGCTTTAGATACAATCCATACTCTAAATTTTTCTTCATTTCTCTTAACTCAAATAATATCTTATTTATTTTGTTTCGTAGCAGATTGTGAGACTTTGTAGTTTGTTTGCTTGGGGTGGTTTGCAAGGTTAATCCATATGTATTATGGTATGCCCTTTTAAATGCATTTTTCTGATTGTTTGGAATTTTAAATATTTTTCCCATTGACTAAAGCATGTTTGTGCAAAGTTTTCAAAAATACACCTTTTGAGTTGGTATGCATTTATTTGCATATAATTTAGAAAGGAAAAAAAAGGATTGGACACCTGCAGTTTCTTCCTATTGGTGGGAAAGCAAAAATATGTGCACATGTACATTAACAGTACTCAAACTATGAATTGAAAAGTTTAATTTTAAAAAAACAAGGTTTATGTGAATTTCTTTTCTAGTCTTGCTGTGGCTATTGTCCTTGGCACAGTTTGAAATGAAAACTAGGAAAGGAGCAGCCATCATCTTCTTGAAAGGCAGATGAGAAAGGCATCCAGTACACAAGAAGGATCCCAGTTGCCCTGGCCATTAGCCGAGGCAGTAGACGTTGTTCCACAAAGATAGTTTATTTATAGTTCTTATGCAGCACTTGATATAAAACATCTGAACTAGGGATGGAAATCATGTTGCACACCAAGGCCCTCACTGGCACTATCCAGATCATTTATGCCCCCCCCAAAAAAAAAAAACAGCCCCAAAATGATGACTTGTGCCCCCAGAAGACTCCAGGCAAAAGGGTATTTCAGTGGTAACTGGCCTGTTTTAACCTTCCAGAGATTTGGTGGGGGGCAGTTGAGGGGGGGACGACTGATGATGCCTTCTAGGTTCCTGTATATGAAAGGAGGGCTGTCCCCCAAGTATTTTCCATTAAAAAGTACGCAATATATA